GAGCCGGCCCGGCAGGTGAGGTCCTGGGGCCGGGAGGGCCAGGAGGCCGTGAGGGGCGGGAGGCCGCCTCCGAGCCCCCGGGCGGCTTCCTCCGCGGAGTCCCGAAGTGGGGAACGGGCCGAACGCGACCATCCCCAGGCGAGACAAATGGCCCTTTTCATCAACGGGGCGTTAAATCGGGCAAACTCGAGGGCGCTTTTCCCGTTTCGTGTCCCCGCCGCTTCTCACCTCCCGCTTTCTTCCTTTATGGGCACGAGAGCGGTGCCCGCCACCGCGAGTCCTTCGTCTGTCCCCCAGGCCTGGTCCGACTTGTCCGGCGCTTGCCCGCTGGCCCTGGGAGCCAAACCTTGTGTCCTTCAGCCGCGGGCGGCCCCTGCGTGCACCCGGGCTCCGGCTGCCCGTCCGCTTGCCTCCTTCCCAAGCTGTTGGTCTTACTCGGTCAAGACTTGGAGGTCTTAGTGCCATGGGCAATGCCTGTGCGTGTTTGAAAAGGCTGGGTTTTGCTTTTAAGGATAACTTTGCTTTAAGAATATACTGCATTTTGTTTTCTTTGGAAACTATGATGTAAGTCGGTTAAACAAATCTGGACATGAAATAGGGCATGGCTATGAGGGGAGTTGTTCCTGTGAGTTTGGCTTGCGGAGCCTACTAATGAAGTGTACGTGAAAACATAAAATTCTCTAACGATCCTGTCCACTTGTTCTAAAACTTACACTCTCATGGGAATGAGATCTTTGTTCTTGTTCATTTCACCGCCTGATAGAATGCTTTGTCCATAGTAGGTACCCAGCGGATATTTTTGTTGTTGTTAACGGGTTCTACCACTCTTTTTTCTTAATGGGTTTCCCTTTTTTTCTTGTCTTCTTTTTTAAGGGCTTGCCCTAGGACATATAAAGAAACCTAGAAGGCTGTTTTAAAAATGAGGTAATAGTTGTTTTGTGTTCTAACTACTCGGGGAGTTTTTTTCCTCCCACTTCTCCCCAGAACAGCTGTTTTCTATCCAAAAGTTTTCAAAATTAGGATTGAATATTTGCAATTCTGAGATGGGTCTGTGCCTTACTTTTTAGGTAGGAAGCAAGGAAACTAATTCGGCAATCCGCAAAGCAATCTCATTGTTATAATTGGGGGTTTTTATACTGGTAACAATCTCTTAGAATCTTTTCCTATTAGACAAACCACAAGATCTTTGAAAAGGTTATTTGTGTGACCTGAATAGAATTAAAATACTGTTCAATTTATTTAATGAAAATACAGTGGTTATGGAGCATTTAACCTGTTAACAGGTTAGGATTTGGGGCCTTTTTTTTTTTTTTGAGGTTTTGTTTCTTCGGTTTTTGTAAACTGAGCTGAGGAAAGACTGCGATGGATATAAAATGCTTTGTAACATCTGTTAGATTTGTGTTTTACAGCTTTCTTTCCTTTTTTGTGCGATGAGTGAGCACTACTAGAATTTACTTGCAGAGCATTCTTAGGATATTTATGACCTGTAATTGCCTTTTGAGGTTGAGTAAACAAGCAAAACCTCTTTGCCGTCAGGCTTAAAACTTAGTAGGCAATTTCTTAGTTTCAGTGAAGTTTTTCCTATCCCCATAGTGTTTGGATGATGCCCCTATCTGCCATCAAGTTAACCTGACCTAGATTAAGGAGCCTGGGAAGTAGGCCATGAAGAGGATCAGGCTATAGGTGAAGAAATCAGTAACTAGTTACAAAAATTAACTTTGACTTAGGTGGATAGTGTGCATCTGGCTAGATGATAAATTAGGTATTTTAATCTAAATGAAACCTGGCAGACTCCTAACTTTCACTTTTCAAAACTAAGAACAGTAGAAGCATATCGATCGCCAAAATTTCCTGCAGCTCCTTTTCCCATTGTGTTACCACCATGTTCAAACTAAAACATTTGGGCACTTTTACATTTCTACCCTTATACCTTCAGCCTAAAGTGAGAGAGAAAACCCAAGATTTTGTTAAGTTTTCTTCCCTTGAATGAATGTTTTAAGATTTCTTTTTGTTCTCTTGTCTGCCTCTTTGTCTTCTGGCTCATTAAGTTGTGACATTATTTTTTTTAAAGGGAGACTTACCTTCCCTGAATATTAAAAAATACAAGTCCCTCTGACTTGTAGTGGATTCAGCAGATCTTTGAGAGCCTACTCTGTGCCCGCTCCTGTTGTAGTTGTAGAGTTACAACAGTAATCCAGATCACGTCCCTGCTGTCATGCAGTTTACAATTTAGAAGGGAAGACAGAATGGAGAAAATAATTATTTAATATCCTAGGGGATAGTGATAGGCGAGATGACAAAATGAAAGCAGTGTAAGAGGTCAGAGAATGGTGTGCTGCTGGTCTAAATAGAGAAGTCAGGGGAGGCCCCTCTAAGGAGGGACCTGAATGAAGTGCAGGAGTCCTGTCTGCACCTGGCGCTTTTCTAATGTAGAAAACGGCCGAGGGGCGCCTGGGTGGCTCAGTTGGTTAAGCGACTGCCTTCGGCTCAGGTCATGATCCTGGAGTCCCAGGATCGAGTCCCGCATCGGGCTCCCTGCTCGGCGGGGAGCCTGCTTCTCCCTCTGACCCTCCCCCTTCTCATGCTCTCTCTATCTCATTCTCTCTCTCAAATAAATAAATAAAATCTTTAAAAAAAAAAAGAAAAGAAAAGAAAACGGCCGAAATACGGTCCAGGAGAGCAACTGGTGAAGAGGAAGCAGGTCTCTTGAAATCTGTGGGTGGATGAGGAGAGTGGAGACAGGGACACTAGACTGGAGAATATAGAGGATATATCTAATATAAGATACTCGTTTTGGGTAATACCTTAGCAGGAATTATGTAAACAGTAAATTTGGAAAAAGAATGAGACCAAAGACGTCTTCTCTTTCTAGGATATTTGGAGAGAAGGAAACCAAAGGGAAAGGAAGGAAGCATATCCATTCAATAAATGCCTAGAGCGCTAGGTATCGAGCGAGCTAGATGTGGAGTCCCCTGCTCTGAGATCCTCCTAGTCTGTTGAACTGAAACAGACAGGGAGCAAGGAGAAGGCAAAAGACAAACTGAGCTTGCTTTACAGTTTTGCCTAGGGCCAGTTCATCCAAAATTATCCCTGTATGTTAATCTTGTCTCTGTGCTTTGGTTTCCTTATTTATAAAATGATGATCTCATTGGATATAAGATACAATACAACACCCAGAAAAGTGCCTGATTCATAGTAAACACTCCATGAATTTTAGAGAGGAGGAATAGGATAGTGGTGGCTGGTGCGTAGGCTAGTGAGGTATTTGGGGAGGTTTTCGAGATTGGCGAGAGCATACTAGTAGTGTATGTGATGATTGTCCTTATCAGTAGATCTGTCATGAAGTTATATGTTTCCCTCATTTCCAAGATTTCTGCTAATTTGTGATTGATGTGAGAGCGTGCATGTGAGAGTGGAAATTTTGGTCTGATTTTTAAGAATCCTTGGGCCTATTTTGAACAATCAGTTTTGAAATCAACCTCCCTTGGTCTTGAATAAATTTTTGGATGTCCGCTCTAAGTGCAGAGCCTCACAGGTTGCCAGACCCTCAGGATACATTACATATTAGAGAATAGAATGCTGTTGTCCTCAGGGAGCTTGTGTGGGGTTTTAATTATTCCTGGCATGAAAATTTGTTTTTTGTTTATTGCTCTATATCTACCATCTAGAACAGTGAACATAGGTGCTTAGTAATTTGGAGGAATGAATCAAGAGAATAAAACTGGGAAAGTATAAAGGGGCGCCTGGGTGGCTCAGTTGGTTAAGCGACTGCCTTCGGCTCAGGTCATGATCCTGGAGTCCCGGGATCGAGTCCCACATCGGGCTCCCTGCTCAGCAGGGAGTCTGCTTCTCCCTCTGACCCTCCTCCCTCTCATGCTCTCTGTCTCTCATTTTCTCTGTCTCAAACAAATAAATAAAATCTTTAAAAAAAAAAAACAAAAAAACTGGGAAAGTATGAATGAATTTGTCACCTATATATCGTCTATTCACATTCCATGATGACCTTAGGATACAAATTTTTTCTTATAAAAGTAAAACAAGTTCTTTGTAGAAAAATTTGAAATTATTTTTAAAAACAGGGAAAATGATCTATATTTTTTAAAAATTGTATTGATGTATAATATACATTCAGAAAAGGGCCTGTAAATGTATAGCTTGATATATTTTCACAAACTGAATTACCCAACTAATCCTGCACCTCAGAAGCAAGCTCCCTTCATGCTCTCTTCCATCACTGCCAGGAGTGGTAACCACTATCCTGATCTTAAATGGCAGAGATTTGCCTGTTGGTACTTTATATAAATGGAACCACACAGTATGTACATTGTTCTTATAGTCTGCTGATCTTAATGTGGTGAATAACAATATAACTCTATGGCTACATATAGATACACCATAATTTAACTAATGCTTTATTTCTGCATTCCTGGATTTTTGCAGTTTTTCACTATTAATAAATGACATTGTGATGAATAGAGATCTTTTAGTACATCACTGATTATTTCTTTTATTTTTTAAAGATTTTATTTATTTATTTGATAGCACAAGTAGGCAGAGTGGCAGACAGAGGGGAAGGCGTAGGGAGAGGAGAGGCAGGCCCCCTGCTGAGCAAAAAGCCCGACGTGGGGCTTGATCCCAGGACCCCAGGATCATGACCTGAGCCGAAGGCAGATGCTTAACCAACTGAGCCACTCAGGTGCCCTGATTATTTCTTTAGAATAAGTTCTTAGACATGGAATTGCTGGATAGAAGTTATACAGTTCTGGGGAGCCTGGGTGGCTCAGTCAGTTAAGTGTCTGACTCCCGATCTCAGCTCAGGTCTTGATCTCAGGGTCTTGAGTTCACGCCCCGTCCGTGTTGGCCTCCACTCTGGGCATGGAGCCTTCTTAAAAAAAAAAAAATTATCTGAGGTAGTTGATGTGTATTGGCAAATTGTCCCATAGAAGACTACCAAATTCCATTCCAGCAGCAACGTAGGAGAGGAGCCATTTCCTTAAAATAGCTCTCCACATTTC